TTCCATCAAAATCCTTCATCAGGCATCTTTTGGAACTTTTCAGTTGGTAAAATTAGATAGTGTTGAGAACGTTCCTTCTAGTACATTTCAAGTACTAAGTGGTAAGTGCTAGCTGAAGTAGAAAAGATACCTTAATAATTTTCTTAAGTGTTCATATAGTCAAAAAATATTAGAGCTGGAAGAGGGACCTTAGAGATGATCTCTAACCCCTTTATTTTGCAAATGAAGAAACATAAGCCTAAAAAGGTATGTGACTTGTTCAGAGATATGTAGCTAATTCATATCAAAGCAGGAATTTTATTTGGGCTCTTCATTCCCATCTAGTGCTCTTTTCTTTTCTTTTCTTTTCTTTTCTTTTCTTTTCTTTTCTTTTCTTTTCTTTTCTTTTCTTTTCTTTTCTTTTCTTTCTTTTCTTTCTTTTCTTCTCTTTTCTTCTCTTTTCTGTTTTTTTTTGTATTTTAACTATTTCATTATTGAAATATTTTCATCCTATCCCTTTCAAAAAAAATCCCACTCATTTTCCCTCCCCACCCTGCTTCGCAACAACCTTCTCTGCCCTTCTGTACTTTATTTCAAAATTCTGTGCTCAGTGGCCATCTTGAAATGTGTTCATTGGCCTTATCAAGCCATTTGTGAAAGAAGTAGCAGGGTAGAGGAGGAAAGAAGCTCTGTCCATGGCTACTGTAGGGCTTTGGCTACTAGCTCATAGGCCAGCTCTATCTCCTCAGCATCTGGACAGGTAGAGGCAAATTCTTCTCTGGCGTAAGCATTTCACAGGTATCTTTACACCCCTTGAAACTCCTCTGGGATAGAAATCCCTGATATTTCTTACGTACAATCTGTACAATGTGGAGCTTGGGCAGTAGGTTGCAATTAGCCAATGTAAGCTCATCACCATCCTGAAACTTCCTGTGGGAAACAACCTTCATCTTCTGCACTTGTCTCATCAATCTCCTCAAGAAGTGGTGATGTCAAATAGTTGTCTTTTTAAAAAAATTTTTTAATTTTTTTTTAATATAAATTTATTTATTTTTAGCTTTCAACATTCACTCCCACAAGTTTTTGAATTCCAAATTTATACCCCATCTCCCCCCTCCTCCCACCCCAAGATGGCGTATATTCTGAATATCCCTTCCCCTGGTCTGTCCTCTCTTCTATCTCTCTCCCCTTCTCTTATCCCCTTCCCCTTCTATTTTCCTGTAGGGCAGGATAGACTTCTGTACCCCATTTCCTGTATTTCTTATTTCCCAGTAGCATGTGAAAACATTTTTTTTAAACATATGTTTTTAAAACTTTAGGTTTCAAATTCTCTCTCTTCCTCTCCACCCATCCTCATTGAAAAGGCAAGCAACTCAATATAGGTTGTACATGTGCAGTTATACAAAACACGTCCATAGTAGACATGTTGTGAAAAACTAACTCTATTTCCCTTAATCCTATCCTGCCCTCCCATTTATTCTATTCTTTCTTTTGACCCTGTCCCTCCTCAGAAGTATTTACTTCTGATTACTCCCTTTCCCAATCTGCCCTCCTCTCTATCACCCCCTGCTCTCTTGTCCCCTTCTCCCCCTATTTTCCTGTAGGGTAAGACAGATTTCCATACCCAATTGAATGTTTGTTTATTCCCTCCTTAAGCCAAATCCTATGAGAATAAGATTCACTCATTCTCTCTCACCTTCCCCTTTTCCCCTCCACTGTAAGAGCTTTTCTTTTCTGTTTTTTTTTTGTGAGATAGTTTACCCCATTCTACCTCTCCCTTTCTTCTTCTCCGAGTATAATCCTCTCTCATCCCTTAATTTTATTCTCCAGATATGACCCCTTAATTCACTCACCCTGTGCCCTCTATCTATCTATCTACATATACATACATATATTTTTTTCCTCCAACTACCCATACTGACAAAGGTCTCATGAGTATAAATATCATCTTTCCATGCAGGAATGTAAACAGTTCAATCTTAATAAGTCTCTTATGATTTCTCTTTCCTGTTTACCTCTTCATGTTCCACTTGAGTCCTGTATTTGAAAGTCAAATTTTCTATTCAGCTCTGGTCTTTTCATCAAGAATGCTTGAAAGTCCTCTATTTCACTGAATGACCATTTTTCCCCTGAAGGATTATACTCAGTTTTGCTGGGTAGGTGATTCTTGGTTGTAATCCTATCTCCTTTGCCCTGGAATATTATATTCCATGCCCTGTGGTCCTTTAATGTAGAAGCTGCTAAATCTTGTGTTATCCTGATTGTGTTTCCACAGTACTTGAACTGTTTCCTTCTGGCAGCTTGTAATATTTTCTCCTTGACCTGGGAACTCTGGAATTTGGCTATATATTCCTAGGAGTTTTCCTTTGGGGATCTCTTTCAGGAGGAGATCTGTGGATTCTTTCAATTTCTATTTTGCCCTCTGGTTCTAAATATCAGGGCAGTTTTCCTTGATAATTTCTTGAAAGATGATGTCTAGGCTCTTTTTTTGATCATGGCTTTCAGATAGTCCAATAATTTTTAAATTCTCTCTCCTGGATCTATTTTCCAGGTCAGTTGTTTTTCCAATGAGATATTTCACATTGTTTTCTAATTTTTCATTCTTTTGGATTTGTTTATAGTGTCTTGATTTCTCATAAAGTCACTAGCTTCCAATTGCTCTATTCTAATTTTTAAGGAAGTATTTTCTTCAGTAAGTCTTTTGGACTTCCTTTTCCATTTGGCCAATTTTCTTTTTAGGGCATTCTTCTCCTCATTGGCTTTTTGTACCTGTTTTGACATTTGGGTTAGGCTATTTTTTAAGGTGTTATTTTCTTCAGTATTTTTTGGGTCTCCTTTAGCAAGCTGTTGACTTGTTTTTCATGATTTTCTTGTATCACTCTCAGTTTTTCCTCTACTTCCCTTACTTGCTTCTCAAAATCCCTTTTGAGCCCTTCCAAGGCCTGGGACTGATTCATATTTTTCTTGGAGGCTTTGGATGTAGGAGCTTTGACTTTGTTGTCTTCTTCTGGTTGTATATTTTGATCTTCTTTTTCACCAAAGTAAGATTCTGTGGTCTGACTCTTTTTGTGCTGCTTGCTCATGATCCCAGCCAATTGCTTGAGTTTTAAACTCTTTGTTAAGGTAAGAGTCTGCTTCCAATGTGGCGAATGTACTGTCCCAAGCTTCAGGGGTTTGTATAGCTGTTTTCAGAGATACTTGTAGGGACTTGTAAATTTTCAGTTCTTGCAAGGTGGTATGATAAGGGGTGAAGTGTTTACTCCTTTCCTGTCCTGTGACCACAAGTATTCCTTTCTGTCCTGTAACTGTGGGGAAGAGTTCCTGTCCACAGCCACTCCAAGCTCTACCATGCCAGTGTTCCTCCTCACCCCAGCACCGGCGCCCAGAACTGTGACCCAGATCCAAACAGATGCAAAGCAAGAGATTCTTGCCTCAGCACTGGCAAAGAGATCCCTGCAGTCCCTTTCTGATCAGCCACTGGATTCCCCCTCAGTCTGTGGGCCGGAAGCTTGGGAAGCAGCTACCCCCCCCCCCCGGGCCATGCTCTTGGGTAATGGAACTGAAACCCCACCTTCCTGTCTCAGCACCGACAGAAACAGACTTTTCCCACTGGCCTTCTAAGTTGTCTTTGGCATTTGTGGATTGAGGAGTCCGACACAGCTGCCCGAGATTCAGTACTCTGAAGCCTGCTCTAAGTTTGCTGCGGCCTGCACGCCCACAGTGCGGTACACCTTTCTGATCAATCATCCAGGTTGTCTTGGGCTGGAAATTTGTTTCACTCTGGCTTTTTGTGGATTCTTCTCCTTTAGAATTTGTTTCTGAATAGTAGTCTTTAACTCTACTTCTTGAGTGTTGATTATCTTTGAAGATAGACTTTAACTAGTTGCCCCCATTAGTTTCTCTCCATTGACCTTTGTGTTGCCCATAATTTTGAATCTTTGGAGATTGTGGTTTTTCAGGCTTCTGATACATATAGCATCATTTGGAGTACATTAGTGTTTTTAAAAGCTAATCTTTTGTTCTGGGGAGCAGCTTGGGGCTGTTAAGAGCAATTTCTTAAATTCAGACATATGGTGTTCTAAATAAGATTTTGTGGACTGGCCTGGGAAAATGTTGAGTGGATCAGGGCTATTCTACATGGAGGTCTCTAATGGAGTACTTCAAGCTTCTATTCTTGTGCCATTTGACATTTTCACCCATGCTTTGAATGAAGACATGTATTAAAATATATGGATGATATGAAATTGGGAAGATTAGATAGGAAAGCGAATGACAGTCCAGATCCACTTTTGAAATTGTCTTTGTGTTAAATGTTTAAGTCATTAGTTATCTGGAAATCTCACTTATCTGTAATATCCAGCCATGCTGGCTAACTTAAAAAATATGTACATCAGTAATATTAAATCAAATAGGCACGTCCTAAGCATCTACTTTGTGGCAGTTAGAGTGGTAAGTACCAAGGCTAAAGATTGCAGAGATGCAACATAGGCCTTGCCCTCAAGGAGATTAGAATATAGAAGACAGGACGAGTACAGGTCTTACTTTAAGTAAGATATAAAGGAGACTATGATCAAGTCAAAAAAGAGAATCCATATGTGGGTTTAGAGAATGTTTGAGGTGTGAGATGTAACTTTTTGCTTCAAGGTCAGGAGGGAAAAGAATTGGGGGAGGCTTTCTTCTTTGAAGGAAAGTGGCACTGAACTTTAAAAGACTTGAAGTGAGAAAAGGATGTCAAGAGGAAGAGATGAGGGAGTGCATTCACAGAATGGAGGAGAGTTTGTGTAGAGGCAGTAGGAGAGGGCAGGCAGGATGAATTCTGGGAATTAGTGGTACATTTGGGCTAGAATTCAGAATAATATAAAATGAGGTGAAAGAGGTAGGTTGGAGCCAGATTTTGAAAAGCTTTGGATGCCAGGCAAAATAATTTGTATTTTATCCCATAGGCAGAAGGTTACTGTTTTTGTATTAACTGGAGAATTTGAGGTCATTGTTAATTTTAAATGTTGATTGATGTCTTTCAGGGTTGTTCAAATGCCCAGAAGAGCAGTCTTCTCCAGGTAGATCAGAACTGTGTTCGTAATTCATACGATGTCTTCTCTCTGCTTCGGTAAGAAACTACTTAAAATCTCCCCTCCTCCCCCACTGAACATTTTAAAGAGCCGTTCTTTCCTTGATTTTATGGCATTTAAATGTGAGGAAATGTCTCTGGGAACTTTAAAAACTTCATCAAGCTTAACATTCTTTAGTGAGGGCTCCATAAATTTTGTAACCCTGGTGATTTCATTTTATCTCCTTACATAAGGCCTTTGGAAAACCTATTTCCTTTCTCTGGACAGTGGGAGAGAGTAGATGGAAGCCAATTGCAGTAAAGCAGAGACAAGAACATTCTTGTTTCCTCTGAGCTGTGGAGATCAACAAATATGGATGAGGACTTTAGTCTTATCAAAGTTTTAACACCTCCAGCATAACTAGAAAAGCCTTCCAACAACCACAAACATGGCTTGTGGTTTTGGCTGGCTGCTCATCCTAAAGGTGATAGTGATACTTGGCAAGCAGGGAGCTCTGATGCCTGTGTTTGGCCAGATAGCTTTGCTCTTCTTCATTTTACATAGACTTGCTTTTGAAAGGTTCAGTTTTGTTTTGTGCTTGATCAGGAAGGATATTGATTAGGTAGGTCTGGTACCAAAGTAAATGCAATTTAGAAATAAAGTTGAGTCATTCAATCTGTAATTTCCTGGGATAGTCATATTGTATATCAAAATTGTATTTTGGCAGTTGATTTTCCTAATGTTTCTATATTATTTTCCATGTGTTGACTGAAGGAAGACCATTTAAAAGATTCTTGGAAAGAAATACTTTACAAATACTGTAAATTGAGATCTGTGTCATTGCCAAATACGCCTTCTCATGTGCAGAGTGATAGAAAAGTTGAGTGTATGGACTTTGTAAGTAACTTTTAAAAGACAGTGGTTTTTGTTCAAACTAATCACTTCAGTTTTCCAGGGCAGTTTCTCACTAGTGATGTGCATTTGTTGGTCTCTTTAAAAGATAATATTATAATACTCTACACGAATACTTCTGTCATGAGAACTCTGTGACCATAGGGAGTGCAGGTACTATTTGCATTAGGTTGATGATAGGCCAAACCTTTTCTTCCAAATGTGGTTTGTTTAAACCTAACTAGCTTCCATGGTTGGTGTTATTCTTCAGTCTATATTCTTATTGTTACTTTCTTTCAGAAACATTTTAATTTGCTAGTGTCACCTATATTTATTCTATGGGTAGAGATGAGGAAATTAGGCTTAGAGACTTAAAGTACCTGGCCCTGGGGTCATTGTGGCTAATTATTAGCAGAGCCTGTACTTGAACCCAGATCCTGTGATTGCATACCCAGGGCTTTTTCTGTTATTCCAAATTGCCTCCTAGAGTGTGGCATACCATACCTCACAAGTTTTCTTTACCTCTGAAGTTTTCCTGTATTCTGTATTCTCTCTGTTGATTATCTTGATAGCTTTCAGTAGCTATCCTGCTGCAGTGTTGCTGAAACTTAAAATTATGTTTAAAAAATAATGCCCTGGCCCCTTTCTTAATATCTCCACATTACTTTTCAGTTGCACCCCTCTCCCTCCACCCCCACACCCTGCCATGTAAAGAAAAATACAAAGTTAAATTCACTACTCTTCTGTTGTTGTCTATGCTTCTCCCCATCATCAATTCCTCTGGTGATAAGGACTTTCTTATTTAGTGTTGACAAAGACTGTAAGGAATATAATATATAAAGGAAATGCCTTGGAGACAGCAACAGCAGCAGCAGGTTCGGGAGCTCCCAGCCCAGAGATGGAAAGGGGATTGGGCAAATGGTCAGAAAGAAATTACAGGGGACCCTCAACTAACAGTAGACTCAGGACCTTGTTGCATTGACCATATGCAGTTCCAGGGCTAAGAGGAATGTGCTTTCTTCCATAGGATAATAGGGGCCCTTGTCACAGTTTCAGAGTGGAGAGGTGCACTAGTGCTTATGATTCCAGCAGAACATGGCACCAGGTCAACAAAGTTCAGGGCTAAGAGAAATGCTAGCACTTGTGGCAGTAGGGAAGCAGAGTCCCTTTTTGGGTGAAGACCAAAGTGTAGGCCAGGAAAGCAGTGACCACATCTCTCCTTGGATAACACCACCTTGGAAGTACTGAAAAACTTACGGACCTCCCAGAGTAGCTCTCAAAACTGTAGCTAAAAATCCTGATGCTTTGGAAAGTGCCTCACCCCACCATAGAAACACAGTCCAACTTTAATGCAAAGTTAAAAGTCAACAGATAGGCTGGAAAAGTGAACAAACAACAAAAAAGAGAACTGACCACTAAAAGCTATTATGGTGACAGGGAAGATGAAGACACAAATTCAGAAGAAGACAACAGTGTGAAAATAGCTCTAAGCAAATCCTCAAAGAAAAAAATGCTAATTGGACACAAGCCTAACAAAGAATTTCTGGAAGAACTAAAAACAGTAGAGTGGTAGAGGAAAAATTGGGGGTAAAAATGAGAATGAAGCAAGAAAATAATGAAAAGACAATTAACAGCTTGGTAAAGGAGGCTTAAAAAAAATACTGAAGAAAATAATGCCTTAAGAAAACAACAACAGAATTGGCCAAAAGGCAGAAGAGGCACAAAAATTCACTGAAGAACTCCTTAAAAAACAGAATTAGCCAAATGGAAAAAGAAGTACAAAGTTGACTGAAAGAAACAAGTCCTTAAAAAGCAGAATTGGTCAAATGGAAAAAAAGGTACAAAAGCCTACTAAAGAAATAATTTCTTAAAAATTAAAATAGAGCAGGTGGAAGCTAATGACATCAAGAAACAATAAAACAAAAACACGAGTTTTAAAAGTAGAAGAAAATGTGAAGTATCTTATTAGAAAAACAACTGACCTGGAAAATAGATTGAGGAGAGATAATTTAAGAATTATTGCACTATCTGAAAGCCATGATCAGAGAAAGAGCCTAGAGATCATATTTCAAGAAATTATAAAGGAAAACCTGATGTCTTAGAACCAGAAGTTAAAATAGAAATTTAAAGAACCTACATATCACCTCCTAAAAGAAATGCCAGAATGAAAGCTCCTAGAAATATTATAGCCAAATTTAGACTTCTCAGGTCAAAGAGAAAATATTGCAAGCAGCCAAAAGGAAATTATCTAAATGTCATGGAGCCACAGCCAGGTTCATACAAGATTTAGTGGCTTCCATGATAAAGGAGTGGAGAACTTGAAATATGCAGTTCTAGAAGGCAAAGGAACTAGGATTATAACCAAGAATAACCTACTCAGCAAAACTGAGTATAGTCTTTTTGGGGAAAAGTGAATATTTAATGAAATAGAGGACTTTCAAGCATTCCTGAGGAAAAGACCAAAGCTGGATAGAAAATTTGACATTAAACACAAGACTTAGGAGAAGGATAAAAAGGTCAACATTGAAGAGAAATCATAAGGGTATCAGTGAAGTTAAACTGTTTACATTCCTTTATTGAAAGATGAATATTTAACTCTTAAGAACTTTATCATTATTGAGGCAATTAGAAGTAGTCTACATAGACAGGCACCTGTATCAATCAATTACATTGAGATGACCTCAAAAAATAATGGAGTGAGAAAGAGGGATATAGTGGGAGAGGCGGGAAGGGAGATGTGATTTAGGGAGGCAAGAGTCAAAAGCAAAATAGACTTTTGAAGAGGGACAGAGTAAAAAGAGACAGAAAAAAATAGGATAGAGGGAAATGCACAGTTAGTAATCATAACTGTGAATGTGAATGGGATAAACTCACCTGTAAAAGGGAAATGGATAGGAGAATGGCTTAGAAATCAAAATCTAACAATATGTTGTTTACAGGAAACATACTTGAAACAGAAAGACACACACACAGAGCTAAAATAAGGGTCTGGAGAAGAATCTGTTAATGCTTTAGCTGATATAAAAAAAAAAGGTCAGGGGTAGCATTTATGATCTTAGGCAGAGCAAAAGTGAAAAATAGACCTAATTGAAAGAGATAATCAAGGAGGCTACATTTTGCTAAAAGGTATCATAGACAATGAAGTAATATCAGTTTTAAACATATATGCGCTAAATGGCAGAATACCCAAATTCTTAAGTGAAAAGTTAAATGAGTTGCAGGAGTAAATAGACAGTAAAACTATACTAGTGGGGTACTTCAGCTTTTCTCCACTCACAGCTAAATAAATCTAACCATAAAATAAATTTTAAAAAAGAGAAGAGTAGAACCTTAGAAATGTTAGATATGATACACCTCTGGAGAAAAGTGAATGGTAATAGAAAGGAGTGTGCTTTTTTCTTAGCTATGCATGACACCTTCACAAAAATTGACCATGTATTAGGACGTAAAAACCTCACAAACAAATGTAGAAAAGCAGAAGTATGAAATGTACCCTTTCCAGACCATAATGTAATAAAAATTACATTCAATAAATGGAAGCCTAAGTTAAAAATTAATTGGAAAGTAATCTAGTCATAAATAATGGGCCAGTTGGGCATGGAATTAAAAAAAGTAGAGAAAGAACAAATCCTAAATCTCTAATTAAACACCAGCATAGAAAGGACAAAATAGGCAATGATTTTGATGCCTAAAACGAGAAGAGCAGAACAGATAAGGAAAACTATAGAACAATTTCCCTAATGCATATTGATGCAAAAATTGCACTGTGACCAGGTAAGATACATACTAGGAATGCAGGGCTGCTTCAGTATTAGGAAAATTATCAGCATAATTGGCTATGTCAGTAACAAAAACAACAAAAATCATATGGTTATCTCAATAGATGCAAAAAAAGCTTTTAATAAAATATATACTCATTCCTATTAGAAAGCATAGGAATAAATGGAATTTTACTTAAAATGATAAGTAGTATCTATTGAAAACCATCAGCAATCATTACCTGTAATGAGGATAAGCTAGGAGCCTTCTCAGTAAGATCAGGGTTGTGAAGCAAGGATGTCCATTATCACCACTATTATTCAGTATTGTACTAGATATGCTAGCTATAGCAATAAGACAAGAAAAGGAAATGGAAGGAATAAGAATAGGCAATGTGTTTGGAAACAAA